TCTCTTTAGATTTTAATAGATTTATTAATTTTAATTAAGTATTATATTTTACTATATAATTAGTATATTAGTTATAAAGAATTATATATAGAACTTAATAGACTTTTACTATTACTTTAATACTTAATTTTAGGTTTTAATTAAGAGCTTAAATTATAAGGATAATATTTACTTTATATAAAGTTATATTTATTTTATAGTAGAAAGTTATTTAATTATAAAGAGAAAGTTCTAATTTCTAGATAGAAGTAATCAGCTTACTTATATAATTAGTTTACTTATAGATTATATTAAAACTTATTACTATAGGAAATCTAAAAAATCAACTTATAACTACCAAACTTAAGATAGATATATATAACCTTTTTAAGACCCACTTTTATCTGAAAGAGCTAGTTAAGCTGATCAGTTGAGTATAGATATTAGATATCTTATCTTTAAAGTTAAAGGAGATATCTAAGATCTAAGGTCTAGTCTAGGGTAGGTTGGTTATAGGGTAGCTTAGGTATAGGTTAGGCTACTAGAAGTTACTCAGATTTTTTCCTGAATTTTCCAGACCTTTATTTAGGCTAATATAGCCTAATAACCTATAAATAACGCTGCTGACGCTCCTAGCCCTAAAGGGGAACTGGAGCCCGCTAAGTCGTAGCGGTCATAGCGGCCTGTAGCCACTGACCCACAGTGGCTGCAACCGCTATTGGCTAGTGATCGTAGTCGCTATCGGATAGCGGTCTCAATCGCTATTGGCTAGCTGTTACAGGGGATAGCGATCGCTAACAGTTAGTGGCTGCGATCGCTAACAGTTAGTGGTTGCGACCGCTAGAGGTTAGTGGTTGCAACCGCTAACTTATAGCGATACGGTCACCAACTTATAGTAACTATAGTCTCTCAATTTAACAGGTTTAAACTAATTATATATAATTCCCTTAAGTTATAAATAGATATAAATAACTTATTTATTATTAATATTAAGAATATAGAGAAATAATTAAAATATATTTAAAGTTATATAATAAATCCTTAAAGCTTTATCTAGATTCTATTAAATATCTTAGTAATAGCTTAAGTAGTTATTTTAACTCTCTTCTATAAACTATAATTATAGTTTAAGTATAGAGGTTAGTATTTATAATAGCTTATTATATTATTATAGTTATTATATCTTTTTATTTATTATATAATATAACTAATTATATATAAATAGGTATTAGATTAATATTAAATCTATATTATTCCTAGTAAAAATATTCTATAGCTATAAATATATACTATACTTATAGAAGTAAAATAATTAATAACTTTAAATAATTAACTTTTCTTATTTCTAAATATATATAATTTTAGATTAAATTAAAATAAACTCTAATATACTCTAATCTAATATAAATAATATATTATCTAATCTAAATATAATTAAATAAAATATAAAGCTTAAATAATTAATTTTTAAGAGCTATCTCTATTCTAATTATCTTAATATAGTATATAATATACTAAAACTATAAGTTATATATTAGACTATAGTAGATCTATATAAGAGGGTAGCTATTCTTAAGATATAATATTTACTTAAGTTTATCTTAATTTTCTATAAGTTCCTACAGTAGTAGTTATAGATAGTAAGCTATATAAAGTAATAGATTAAGTAGATATAGCTATTAAATCTATAATATTAAGAGCAGCTTTATTATTATAATTAGATCTTTAACTAATCAGAGAGATATATTATAAATATATTTAGTAAATAATTATATTAGATTATCTTAGATAATTATTATTATTATTTTAAAGATCTTATTAGAAGTATTAATTAGACTATAAGAGATTAGAATATATATATTAGATATTATAACTATTTAAAATATCTAGTAATTAATTAATTAAGTAATTAATAATAAGAATATAATTAATTAATTAATTATAATAAGCTTTAAGTTTTTTATTTCTAAATATATATAATTCTAGATTAAACTAAAATAAACTCTAATATATTTTAATCTAAACTATACTATTCTAAAATAAAAAAAACTTAATTTTAATTAACTCTTAAGAGCTATCTCTACTCTAATTAGTTTAAGATAGTATAGAATATACTAGAACTATAAAGAAAACCTCAGATTATAATATATATAAATAAGCAGGTAGCTATAATTAAGATATAGCTTTTAATCTAGTTATATCTTATCTACTTTAAGCACTAATAGTATATAGTAGCTATAAGCTATATAATATAAGAATAGACCTAGTAGATATAGCTACTAGATCTAGAGTATTATTAGTAGCTTTATTACTATAAGTAAACTCTTAACTATTTAGAGAGATATATATTAGATATACTTAGTTAAGAGCTATATACTATTATCTTTTATAATCTCTATTATTTTATTAAGATCTATATTATTTATAGTAATTAAAGCTCTATAAGTAAGGATAATTATAGAAGATAATATATTATAGATACTTAGTATTAATAATATAATTAATTAATTA